CATTGTCTTTATAAACTGTGTTATGCCAATTGAGCTAGATGTTCCCTGAGACCATGGTCTCCACAGCCGTCCACCCAGCAATTCAGTCCCTCAGGGAGTTTGGATGTGTCTATGGTGGCCTCTCAGTATTTTTGAGCCAAAAGCAGCCAGCACTCATAATTAAAGGCTTTTGCAACAGGTAACAAGCACCCTTTTAAGGATGGAGTCAGGTATTAAAGGGTTTCTGTTGCCTTTTTTGTTTTTTTAAAACAGGCTATCAGACACTGCATTTTCCTGTCCTTGTTTTCCTGTGTATGGCTGAGGGGGTGCTGGGTGGTCGCAGCCTGGGGTCCCTTTGGGAGAAGTTAACTGGTAGAGGAGAGAGGATGCCTTGGATCTCCCTTCCTCGTCTTACAAGAGCCAGAGGTGGCCTGGAACTGGGGTCCCTCACTCCAGAATCAGGCCTTCTGGGTTGCATTCCTGGTGCAAACACAGTCTTTATCCTCAGGCCCAAGGGAGGCATCAGAATAGAGACAGCAATCCAAAGTGGATGTCACCTTGATAACTAAGGTGTGTCTGACCCAAGCCATAATCTTTTGCCTTGCCTCATATGCATGCAAAAACTGGGCAATGAAAAAGGAAGACAGAAGAAGAAATGATGCCTTCCAACTGTGGTGTTGTCAAAGAATATTGAATGTACCATGGACTGCCAGAAGAATGAACAAATCAGTTTTAGAATACAACCAGAATGCTCCTTAGAAGTGAGAATGGTGGGACTTTGACTCGCTTCCTTTGGACCCATCATCAGGAGGTCAATCCCTGGAGAAGGACATCATGTTTGGTAAAGTGGAAGGTCAGCAAAAATAAGGAAACCCTCAATGGGATGGATTGACACAATAGCCACAACAGGAGACTCAAACACACCAACGATCATGAAGATGGCGCAGGACTGGGCAACATTTCATTCTGTTGTACATAGGGTCTCCATGTGTCCGAGTCACCTAGATGGCAGCTAACAGCAATAACCCAAAGTGGAGTTCCCTAGCTGAGGCCACTCACGGCCATCCTTGAATGTGCTAAGGCTTTTGATCTTTCCCAGCACTTCTAGGGGCCATGGGTGAGGACAAGGCAAGTGGAAAGTGAGGGTAGTCCTTCTTGGGTTGGGTCCTGAGGCAGGGATGTGGGCTTTCCATCCCTGTACCCCAGTGCCCACAGAGGCCAGCACATTTGCAGGCACTTGGGGGGAGGTGCCCGAGGCTCCCTCAAGAGGATGGAGGGCAGGTGGAGGTGCCTTGCCCTCACCTTAATGGGGTTCCCCAGCAGGTGGGTAGAGAGGATGGCTGGTGGGGAGCAGGCTCAGGGCACCATGTTCCACCACTTGAAGGGAAACGGCTTCCGGCGCACATTGGTGCCGCAGTGGATCTCCCCGAGCAGCTTGTGATAGGACAAGTAGTCATCGATGAAGATGCAATGCAGGCCCAGCGGCTCCAGCAGGGACCGCACCTTCTCCTCCAGACAGCAGTGGCCATTGATGATGGGCCCAAAGGGCTTGGGGATGCCCAGGTACTTCCCTAAGACCACCATGTTGACCTATAGAAGACAGAAGGCAAGAGGGAAGGTCAGCTGGCTGGGGACACTCTACACCTGGGGCCTCTTCTGGACTCTGACTCTGGCCGACCATCCCAGGAATCTTGCCTATCCTCACCAGCATCCTGGGCCACCTCAAGAACTAGGATCTAGAGAAGCAGAGAAGAAATAGATTCGTGGTTGGAAGGGAGGATTAATAACAGCCAGGGCTGCCAGTAACCCACATGGTAACTTTGCATGAATCAAAGTCACACCTTCCTCTAACAATTCCTTCCATCTCTCAGAATTTTCATATGATAACCTTTTTAGAACAAGAGTTTACTGTCGCCTGCCAGAAACTTGAAAATACACACATCCTCAAGGTCTGCAGTGTGAATATCTTTGTAGGTGTGTGCCCTTGTGCAGTACACATCTTGCTCAACAGTCTTTGGCAGCCCTGATCATTGTTACCATTTACTGAGCATCTTCTCTGTGCTAGCCATATCATCACTAAACCTCCTAGCCTCCCTCTGAGGCTGTGGCTCAGACAGGGTAAGTAATGTAATCAAGGCCACCAGCCAGAGAACGGTGAGTTGAAGTTTTGAACTTGGGTCTGACTTGTGCCAAAACCCACGCTCTTTACACTCTGCCGAAGTTTGGCACTGGGGCGTCTTGGGAGGCTGAGGAGATGGGGCAAGAGGCTGGGAGCCTGGGCACCTGAGTTGATCTTTGGTGGCACCTCTGCCTTCCACAGTTACAGACCTGGTTTGGGGTCCTAACTCTGAGAAAGGGAAGTCTTCCCAATGTAGGGGCATGTAGGTTTCTTGGAGAAAGTTTCGGCCCCAGCTTGATGGCCATAGGTCATAAGGAGCTGCCCTTTGTGTTCAAATGGGACTCTCTAGACCCACTGTAGAGAGGCTGGTCTTGGGTTCTCTTGGGGTGGGGTGGGTTGGCCCTAACCCGGTGCCCTCATACTTTCTGTGCCGTGCCCCCTATGCCTGGGGCCAACAGGAAACTGGAGGGTCCCGTGGGGTCAGTCCCATTGCCTTGGCCCTGAGCTACCTGACTGTCCACTGATGGGCCAGAACATGCTGGGGTGGGGGTGGCTGCAGGAGGACAAAGAGGGGAGATGATCAAGGACTCAGGACCATAGCCAGCCCCACCTCTACTTCCTCCTGAGTGAGGGAGATCGGGAGATTGGGAGATTGGGGGCCAGTCCCAGCTCCGCCTCAGGCAAATCACCCACTCTCTTTCTGTGGGCCTCACCTTCCCCATCTGACAAGCAAGGGGGTTAGCTGAGCGCCCCCTACGGGCCCTTCCAGTGAAGACATGCTGAGATCATTTAGCAGGGCCTAGACTGAAAAGGGAGCCCTGGTGGCACAGTGGTTAAAAACTATGGCTGCTAACCAAAAGGTAGCTGGTTCGAATCCACCAGCCACTCCTTGGAAACCGTATGGGGCCATTCTACTCTGTCCTATAGGGTCACTATGAGTCAGAATTGACTCAACAGCAACCGATTTGGTTTGGTTTTTTAGACTGAAGACAGTCCCACAGACAGACAGGGTGTCTATTGAAGAGGGGACTTCCAGAAGGTGGGGGCAAGGCCACAGCCCAAAGAGAGCTAACTAAAGTCATGGGCTCCAGCCTAGACTTCTCCCCACATTTCATCCAGAACCAGAGCCAGGTAGCCCTGTCTAATATAGTCATCACTAGCCACATGTGACTATTAAAATTAAAACTAAATAAAATTAAACTTTTCATTCCTCAACCACACTAGCCACATTTCCAGTGCTTAGAAGCCAAGCATGGCTCAGCAGCTACCATACTGTACTGCACAGATACAGAACATTCCATCACCACAGAAAGCTCTAATGGGCACCACCAACTTGGAGCAAGGGGTCTCAGCCAGGGACAATTTTGCCCCCAGGGCGTTGTTGATTGTGACAACCTAGTTAGTAGAGGTCAGGGATGCTGTTCAATATCATACAACGCACAGATAGCCCCCCGACCAACAGAGAATTATTTAGCCCCAGATGTCGACGGTGTCGAGACTGAGAAACCCAGCATTAGAGGTCTCTGCCAGGGCCTGGAGGCTCAAGCCCACAGTGAGGAGTCCGAATGAAAGCAGGTCCTTTGGGGAAGCGCGTCACCTCCCCCGCCACCAATCAGTATCCATTCCACACCCTTGGCCTGCCCAGCGAGAAGGATTCGAGCTAAAGGCCCCAATCTGAAGAGGGTCCCTCTCCCATCCTGGCCCCCCCCCCCACAGCTGCCCACACCCCAACATCCTTTCCCAAGCGCTTAATGGGCACTTTGGCTAGGGCCGTGCTGATAGCATCACTCAGGCCCCTCCCAAGTGAGATCATATCTGCTCATCTGCCAGTCAGACGGGCGGGCAGCAGGCAGCTCCACCTGCCCCACCTGCCCCACCTGCCCCACCTGCCCCACCTGCCCCAACTCAGGGGCCCCATCGGGGAGCAGAGAAGGTAGGTGAGACCCAGAAACAGAAGTTGAAACATTCGGGACCAAATCACACTTTCTTTTTCCATTTGGGGGGAAAAGAAGCACTTTGTTGTAAAGGGGTTGTCCTGTGCATTATAGGATGTTTAACAGCATCCCTGGCCTCTACCCACTAAATGCTAGTAGCATGCAACAATCAAAAATGCCCTGGGGTGGAGGGAGGAGGAATCCCCCCGGGCGAGAATCACTGTTGTAAAGTTCCATGAGAACTTTCTGTGATGATGGAAATATTCTATTGTTGTTGTTAGTTGCTGTCAAGTCGATTCTGACTCATGGTGACCCCATGTGTTACAGAGTAGAACTGTGCTCCATAAGGTTTTCTTGGCTATAATCTTTATGGAAGGAGATCTCCAGGCCTTTCTTACATGGTGAAGCTGGGTGGGTTCAAACCGCCAGTCTTTGGGTTAGCAGTGAAGCGCAAACTGTTTGCACCACCCTTAGAAATGTTCTATATCTGTGTAAAAACCAAACAACAAAAAACACCAGGGAGGTCAGCAGGATCCAGACTGCCTTGGACAGGGAGTGGCTCTCCTGTGGAATCCCAGCTGACCCTGAGGGACAGGGACAAGGCTCTCACCATGTCTGGGAAGAAGGCTTCTGCATAGGAGCCCTTCAGAGTGAAGAGCTGGGGGATGTCGATGATGTCGCGCTCTGTCAGGCCCAGCTCCTGCTTCAGCACCTGGCGGTTCCAGTCGATGCATTTCTAGGGACAGGAGAAGAGGCAGCCAGAGCCCACCCAGGAGACAGACAAGGAAGGCGCCTACGTATGCCAGGCCTGTGCAGAGCCCTCCGAAGCAGCCTTGTGCAATAGGAGCCATTGCTATCCTCAGATAGGCTCAAGGGACTTGGCCAAGGGCACAGAGCTAGGAAGTGCAGAGCTGGGTTTGGACCCAGGCAGTTTCTGGTTCCAAAAGCCCTTGTCACTACACCCCGCTGCCCCAGCCACAGACACAGCATGGTCTATGCTCCTGTCCCATCTCAGAAGTCTAGGAGAAAGGGCCGGCACTGCTGCAGGAGGGAATGAAAGGGCCCCCTCCCTTTTACTGAGCAGCCACCTTGCACCAGGCTCTGCACCAGGCACATGGCAAGCATACCCTGTCCCTTCCAGACACCCTCGTTCCACCAGTTCTCCTCATAAGAGAACTGACTTTCCCATGGCCTCTCCCACCCCCTCAAAAGGCCCCATTTCTTCACCACAGCTGTTTCATCGTGAGAATTCGGTGTTGTTCTATGGAAATCAGTCATTCCTCAGAGCGGGACTAGGGCCACCCTCATCAGACTGGGAGTTCCTGAGGGCATGGCTGTGTCTCTTCCATCAGACTGAGGGTTCCCAGGGCAGAGACCCTACTCCACCCACAAGTCCCCCCAGCCCTCCAGAGGCCCACAGATGAGTCCCTCCCTTCAACTCCAGTAGTTTCTGGTCTTGCTTCTCCCGGCAGGGAGTGGAGCCCCAAGAGTAGCTGATGCTCCTGCCCCTCACCTGTACATACAGACTATCATGCCGGAGGCTTCTGTCCGCCAGCATCTCATTAATGCTTCTCTTCCTCTGATATTTCAACTCTGTAAGAGAAAGAAAGAGATTACTTGGAGTCAGGGAGTACTGCCCGGGGCCATCTTGGGCTTGGGGCTGTAAAATCCAGACCAGGATTTCCCTCCCACTTCAGTGCCAAGGTCAGAAGCCAGGATGGAGAAAGCCAGAGACTGGGAAACCGCTAGGGAACAGGCTCTGGTTGCAAGTAAAACCTGGTAATGGATTAGTGGCGTCCCTAGGAAGGGACTCCCAGACTCAGGGCCCACTAATCACAGTACAGCCATTACTGAATGCCACCATGCTCTGGGCACCCTATTCAATTTAGTATTAATCTTTAAAACAGTTGTAGGAGGAGCTAATTGTTACCCTCAATTCAGAGAAGAGAAACTGAGGCACTGAGAGGTTCAGAACACACACGCCATGCCACAGCCGTTAATGACAGGACCAGGATTTGAACCTAGGACTATGGATTCCAAAGGTTATGCCATGACCCTTCAATGCTAGCTCTGCAGGTGGGTGCCATCCTTGGAGGTCCTTGGAGGAGGCTCCATGGAGGGCCCTGACTGCCAGCCCTGGCTTCTTGCCCTCTCCAACTCTTGAGCCCCTGGCTCTGCTGCTTCCTGGCTACATGGCCCTGAGCAAGCCACTTCTCTCTGAGCCTCAGCTTCCTCCTTCGTGAAAAGGGATAAGGGGGTGGTGGCAAGATCAGACAGAGGGTGGTGGCAAGATCAGTCAGGGGCGAGAACAAGAAAATGCCTGGCACAGGGCCGGCACCCCATCCAGAGCACTCATTTCTTCCTCTCCTGGGGTGTGGCTCCTTGCTGTGTGCCTGGGGCTGTCCCCTGGCCTCTAGGCTTCCCATCCCTGACACCAGAAAGGGAGAGCTCAGCTCCCACGGGACGGTGACCGTCAGGAGTCAGTGATGGCTGGCCCAGAGGCATGAGATCTGCAGACCAAGGGCCTGTGAAGGACGACAGCGAGGGAAAGCATCACAATGCCCAGGTTGGTGACGAGCAAGCGAGCGAGCAGGGTCCACGCAGCAGGTGACCTGGTCACTGGTGCTCACCATCGAACTGGGCGGCCTCCCCGTAGCCCTCCTCTTTCTTCTCCTGGAACAGTTTGAGGCAGGCGGTGGGGCTGGCCAGGAGCAAACGGAAGCCCTGGCACAGAGGGAGGGAGAATTGGCTTAGGGGCAGGTTCTCCCTAGACAAAGGAGACCCCAAGCTCAGGAGGGTTTGAGTTCCGAAGCCAGGCTGTTCGTGGGATGCCCCCACGCCCAGTCCTGCCCACCAGCCACGCAGAGGGTCTGCAACTCCCCTAGTCCTCTAGGCTGGCTCACACCTCCAGGCCTTTGTCCACACTGTTCTTGCCCGAGTGCCCTTCCCCACTCTGACCACCAGGGAACTCTGGTTTCTCCCTTCAAGACCAGTTCAGGAGTTAGCTCCTTCACTGGCAGAGGGGACATTTCTTTTGCTTCTGGCCCAGCTGCACTCTGTGTCCACCTCTGTCGGAGCTCTCACCATGCTGGGCTATAACCTCTCACAGGGAGACCTCCCCTACCAGGCCACTACTCCCCAAGGGCCATGCCCTCCCCAGTCACCCCTTCAAGGCAGTAAAGCCTGGTGGTTAATGTGGAGCCCACTGTCTAAGTTTGACTCCTACCCTGCCACCTACAGGCTGTGTCACCTCAGAAGTTAATTGTCTTTCTGAGCCTTGGTTTCCTCATCTGTAAAATGGGGACAAGGATAATAGTACTTACCTCATGGACTTGTTGGAGGACTAAATGAATTGAAACATGTGGTACATAGTAGGTATTCAGTAAACGTTACCAATTATTATCAGCACCATTCCTGGCTCTTGGCTGAGGGGTTTGGGTCCAAGTAAATGCCCAGCCAGTGTGAGAATGAGTGTCCTCCTCATCTGAGGCTCTGACCTCCTCCAAAAAGCCTTCCTGGATTAACACGGCCTGGCCTCAAGGCTGCCCTGACCCTAAGCTAACTCTGGACACTGGGGTTGAGTTGGTTCCAGGTGGCTTTGCCCTATCCCATCCCATTCCATCAAGTCAGGCAGGAGCAAAGGTGGCTCCGCCAGGAGGGGCGGGGACACACCTTTTGGTCTGAGGTGGGCACAAAGCTCAGGAACTCGTCCACGTGGCCCACAGAGAGCCAATCCGAGTAGAGCTCCACAGGCGCCTGCACCTGCTGGGCCTGCAGGAAGTTGCGCACCACCTTGGTCATCGTCAAACCTCTGGACCTGGCCAGGGAGGGAGAGAGCGGCTGTCATCACCTGCCTGCTGCATGCTGGCACCATGCAGGTGCTTTGTGTGCAGCCCTCATCAAGCTTCATGACTACCCTCTGAATGGGTCCTCTTTTGTCCTTATTTCCCAGAGGGGGAAACTGAGGCTCAGAGAGCTGAAGTGACTTAGCCTGGACCACGCAGCTTAAAAGTGATAGGGCCAGTCTGCCCTGATTCCAATCCCAGCAGTTCCAAGCACAAGCCAAGGCCAGGAGCACAGTGGGAAAAGGCCCCAGGAGGAGATGATGTTGGCACACTGAAGGCCAGGCCTGTGCCAGCCCACAGGGTGCCCTCTGCTCATAGTGTCGGCTGCCACAGGACTACCCAAGGCAGGGGGTGGCAGATGGTGTACCCCAGATGCAGCTTCCAGGTGCTCCCAGGAATATGCTCTCCATCTTGACCATCATCCCAGAGTCTCCAGCTTCCCTCATCCCAGAACACTCTCCCCAAGGCCCAAAGGTCCTGTGTCCACCCCTACTTCCACTTCTCCTGCGAAACGAGTCAAAGGAGGGAGCTCCATCTGCCAAAGCGAACTGAGATCCTCATTTCACAGCTTGGGATTCACAGGTTGACTCCTTACCCAAGGGACACACAGCCTTTTGTTCAAAAACCAAGAAGAGACTTAGCCTTCCCCTCCCTCAGTCCAGTGTTTCCCAAAATGTGGTGGCTGGACCCCCTGGGGGTCAGATTCCAGCAGGAGGTGGTGCTTGTTTAAATTGAGGATTCCTGGGTCCCCAACATCCTCTGCATCTCGGAGTCTTTGTGGACGTGGTCCAGGAATCTTCTTTTTGGGAGGCTTATTTCCCACCCTACCCCCTCCAAATCTGCATTTTGTTAAGCATCTCAGCTGATTCTTGTATGTGTCAAAGTTTGAGAGCCACTGTCCCAGTCATTTAGCATGAAACACTGACTCTCTAATCCCCACTAGTTCCTGCAGTGATGCCTGGGCATCTTCAAACCACCCTTGATTAGCAGAGGGAGGGATTGGCGTGGAAAGATGGGTGGCAGGGGTGGGCGGAAGGATGCCTAGAGCAGGGAACAGGGGAGCAGGAGCTGGAGTCCCTGAGCTGTGGGAGAAGACACTATAAAAAGCCGCCTGGGCATGGAAGGGACCGTCTGATGATGCCACCTTAACCAAAACCAAACCTACTGCTGACGTGTCGATTCCGACTCATAGCGACCCCATAGGATAAAGCAGAACTGCCCCACAGGGTTTCCAAGGAGTGGCTGGTGGATTCAAACTGCCAACCTTTGGTTAGCAGCCATAGCTCTTAACCACTGGGCCATCAGAGCTCTGATACCACCTTAGGTGAGGGCAATGTCCCCATTTCACAGATGAGGCAGCTGAGGCCTGGAAGGTTAAAGGGTGACTCATCAAACATCAGAATAATTTATTATACTTGGCGTTTTCCATCTTCCCTGGACACATAGCCATGTACAATCACACAAATGTATACTTTCTATATAGAGGTTTTTTTTTCCCCCAATATATTTTACATAAAAAACCATTGCCCTCAAGTTGATTCCAACTCATAGCAACACTATAGGACAGAGTATAACTGCCCCATAGGGTTTCCAAGGAGTGGCTGGTAGATTCGAACTGCCAACATTTTGGTTAGCAGCTGAATGCTTAACCACTGCGCCACCAGGGCTCCTTTCAAAAAAAGGGGTTGCATTCCTTGCCCTTACTTGTCTGGTTTAAGAATGTATCACAGACATGCTTTACCTTAAAGAACAGAATCCAGCCCCTCCTCCTCTCCTCTGCCACCACCTGCCCAGCTGGCAGCTGTCTCACCTGGATCATCTCAGTGGCATCTCCCTCTCTCTGGTCTCTCTGCTTTCATTCTTGTTCCTCTACAGTCCACCCAGAAGGAGGTTTTTTAATATGTCAGATCACGTCCCTCCTCACACTGCCAGCTCACTCACAGTAATAGCCAAGGCATTACAATGACTGTATAGTCTGGCCCCTGCCAACCCCCATGCTGCCACTCCTGCCTCTGTCCCCTTCATTTGCTCAGCTCCAGCCACACTGGCCTCCTGCTGTCTCTTGAACACATCAGATACTCTCCTGCCTCAGGGACTTTGCACTTGCTGTTTTCTCTACCTGGAATCAGCCCCATGTCCCCATGAACTCACTGCCTCTTCTCCTTCAGATTTAATTCAGATGTCACCTTCTTTCTCTGTGAGGCCTTTCAGAAGTACAACACTCTATCCCCCTTCCCAGCGATATTTTTCTCTATAGCACTCGGTATTATCCGTGTGCTACAAACTTGCCATCTTATTTACCTTGTTTATTGTCTGACATCTCCCCAGAATACAGGCAGAGCTTTTGTCTATGTTATTCACTACTGTATCCACAACCTCTTACACATAATAGCTGTTCAATAAATATTTGCGGGGTGATAGGAACTCTTTTAAACAGCAGTGTCTGTGGTCTATATAAAATAGAATATTCCATAGACAAAGACTAGAAAGAGATATGGCCAACAGTAATAAATGAAAATGCTGATTTAGTTTTTGGGATGGGATCAGGGGAAATATTTTTCTTATATTTCTGTTATTTTAATATAGTTTACTTTGTAAGATTTTTAAAAAATACAGTGAGATGGTGGGAAGAACAGCTAGGCTTCAGAAAAAGAAATTGTTCCTGAGTAGAAAGTGACAGCAACCATTAACAGTAAGGTTGAGTAAGGAGTAAAATCCCCTTGGAATGCTCTCCTGGAGGCAGGGGGATGGATAAAATGACGGCAGTTTGCAAGACATCAGGCCTAGTCTCTGAGTCATTATCACAGCTGCCACCAGAGGGCGGAATTGCTCAAAGAAGTTTTCAATGGCTGGCGCAGAGAGTGGAAAACCTAAAATAGTTGAGAATGGACAGGGTGTTTGTTTGTTGAGCGCCAACTTTGTGCCTGCCTTAGGCTCCTCACACTAGGTACCTCGTTTAATCCTCATGATAAGCCTATGATATATGTACCAATATCAGCTCCAGGTTGTGACCTGAACTCTGCTCTGTCAAGCTCTCTAACCTTGTCCCCCATCACACCCCTCTTTGCTCTCTCTGCTCCAGCCCCACTGGCCTCCTTGCTGTTCTAATGTCTCAGGCACACTTCTGCCTCAGGGTCTTTGCACTGGCTGTCCCCACTGCCTGGAATATTCTCTTCCCAAATAGCCACCTTGTTAACTCCCTCACTTCTTTCAAGGCTTTGTTTAGATGTCAGCTTCTCACTGGGACTTCCCTTATCTTACACACTATATGATTTGCTTATCTATGATGTTTACCTTTTGTCTGTTTCTCCCTGCTAGAATGTATGTAAGCTGTCTGTTTTGTTCACTGCTGAGGTCAGAAGCTAAGGCAGGAACACAGGACAGCAGCCTGGGGTGTCAAATTTTATCTTGGGCCCCAAGGAGAAGGAGACCAGTGACTATATCACTAACTTGCTGTGTGGTTCCAGGCAAGTAGCTGTCCCTCTCTGAGCCTCCCAGCCCCGTCTGTCCACCAAGGGCGTTGTTCCTGGTTCCCAGCAGAATATCCAATGAGGTGGGCCATGGCCATACTAGTGACCCTTCACCTTCCCCTCTGGGATCCTTGAACAAATCCCAGCAGTCTTGAGCTGAAAGAAGGCTCCCAACTCAGCTCATTGGCTAGTGAGGCTGTGCATGGAATGCAGCTGAGGGTGTACATGTGTTGTGGAGTCCTGAAGAGACTGGGACAGGAGCCCAAGGCCAGAAAAAAGAGCAAAGTCCTTGTGGACCATGCAGAGAGCCCCTTCCCTCCCTGAGCCTGCTTCTCTGAGCCCTTCGCCCCTAAGATCAAGTCCTCAGGCTGATGGAGGGGAGGACAACCTCATCAAGCATCTGAGCAGAAAGTCCATGCTCCTACCCCTTTTCCTCCTCCCCCACACACCCGGGCCTGCCTGAGCCCCCTCCTGCCTGAGGTCTGACCAGTAGTTCTCTACCAATCTGCCCTCCATCCCCACCAACCTTCTTTCCATTGAGCCATGCTTTCTTTGGCCCCCAAGCCTTTGCCCATGCAGTTCCCTTTGCTTGGCACACTGTTCCATTCCGCTCGGCTTTGTTTCTCTCTTCCCCGGCCTAGCATCTTTCCACCCTTTATCATTGCTCATCAATATTGTTGCTCCCTCTAAGAAGCCTTCCTTGAGACCCACAGTGGATTATATGTAATCTCCCCTCTGACCCCACTGGGGTATAATTGCTTGCTCACTTGCCTGTCTCCCTCATTAGACTCTAACTCTCAAGGGCTAGCTCCTCGTCTGTCTTGGTCATTTCTATACCCCCAGCACTGGGCCCAGGCCTGGCACACAGGAGGTCTCAGTCAACATTTACTGAATTTGGTAAATGAATGCATGAATGAATGGGTGTAACTTTACTTTTCTGAGCCTCAGCTTCCTCACCTGTAAAATGGAGATAATAATAGTCCCAACCTCTTAAGGCTGTTGTAAGAATTAAATGAGATAACCTGGATAAAGCACCATGTGCATGGCACATAGTAGGTGATCAATACATTTTATTAAATGAGTTCTGACCTGCTTCAAAGCGGACCCACTTCTAGGAGGGCCAGCTGAACAATACCTAAGCATCAGGAAGATGGTTTACACGAGTTCTTTACTCCCAGTAACACTGATTATATAGCTAGGACAGTTTTCTCATCTCATTTGACAGATGAGAAAACTGAGGCTTGGAGGATAAAATAATTTGTTCATTCAACAAATGGCGAGTTTTTCATCTGTTTCGTTCGTTATATCCCCAGTACCTTCAGCTGTGCCTGTCACACAGTAATGTGCAATAAATATTTTTAAATTAATTATTCAAGCACCTACTATGTCCTCTGGTGGTACAGTGGTTAAGAGCTCAGCTGATAACCAAAAATGTCAGCAATTCGAACCCACCAGCCACTCCTTGGAAACCTATGAGGCAGCTCTGTAGGGTCGCTATGAGTTAGAATTGATCCGACAACAACAGGTTTGGTTTTTTTTGAGGTTACTATGTGCCAGGTACTGTGGTTAGCACTGGTTAGGTGAAGTATCCAAAATCATGTGGCTCATAAGTGGCAGAGCCAGGACTTGAACCCAAGTCCATCTGACTGCAAAGCCAGTGCTCCTTCCCCTGGAGTCTCCCTGCAGTCACAGAAAACTGCCTTCAGCCCTGGGGGTGTGGGCAGGACCCGGCCCCTGAGTAGTGCCTGGGCATGAGTCACCGGCGAGGTGAACACACTTCTCTTAACCTGGCCAACCTCAGCCCTGGGCAACCAGCCTGGGCACCGGAGTTACACGCCTGGGTTTGGTGCCAGGAAGCTTCACCTCCTCTGATGCAGAGCCCCAAAGCTGCCAGGTTCACCACTTGGGGCTGTGTGACTGGCCCAGCACCTCCTCACTCCTCTGTGCCAAGACCAGACAGTTGGCCAGGTCCTAGGGGGCAAGCTGGGGCAGGGCTGGGCTCCATGCCAACCCTGCACAAACGGGATGGTGGCCTCCAGGGCCTGTTGTGGGCATGATCTCTGGGCAGGAAGCCGGGGATCCTGCGCTGCACACCCCACTCCTTGGTTGCCAGCAGGCAGGGTGGGGACCCATTCTGCAGGATTTAGTAGACACTGTCTCCTGTCCAAGCACTAAGCGCCAAACACCTTGTTTCTGCCTGATCACACCCACCCAGGGTGGGACTCACCCAGTCACTTCTGTCACCCTGGTATCCTGACCAATCACTCACTCACCTGCAGCCACCTGCCCTGGGTACTTTCGAGCCACCACTAACACAGCAGCCATTTGACCTCCTAACTGGAGAGGTCAACAGGGCCATTCCCCTGCCTCTGTGCCAGATTGCATGTCACCTCCCCAGCTCTCCCGATTTCTCAGGGGAAGCTGGAAACCTGGCTTTTTATGTGAGGCCTCCGGATATATATTTTTTAACGTCAGTGGCTAATTAACATAAAATACTAGGTGGGCCAAAACACTGTGGACCGCTAAAAACCCATTGCCGTTGAATCAAATCCAACTCACGGTGACACCATTTGTTACAAAGTAGAACTGCTCCATAGGGTTTTTTTGGCTGTAAACTTTATGGAAGCAGATTGCCAGCCCTTTCTTCTGAGGTACTGCTGGGTGGGTTCGAACCACCAAATTTTAGGTTAGCACTGGAGCTCAAATTACTTGTGCCACCCAGGGACCTGTGGGTCAGTAGTTTGTGAGTTTTTCCCTAAGATTCTGTGCCCTTTGGAATCTAAGATTCTAGAACTCTGAATCTTTGATCCTAAAATTCCGTGCAGACTGGGGAAGGGTGCTCTGCTGAGGGGAGTTGGGGGTTGGATGCAGCAGTAGGTCCTCTTGCCCACCCGCCCCCTCCTGCCCCAGCCTCTCACTTGGGGTAGCTGCTGCCGATGAGGATCCGGCCCAGGGGGTACTCCTTGCCGCCCACCGTGACGGGTGGGCTGACATCCAGGTTCCCGAAGGAGTCGAGGCTGGAGGCACTGCCAAACTGGATCTCCCGCGTTACATAGCCAAAGTCAGGGCCCTAAGGGAGGACCAGCAAGACCCCCCCGCCACCGGAAGAAGGGGTCAGTTAGGACGGGAAGAGGCAGGTCTTGGTGGAGGGAGGGGGGGTGATGCTGAAGGACCCCAGGACCCCTCCCCACTCCCTCACCCCCGACTCTTCATGCCGGAAAAACAACCTGTATCTGCTTTTCAGCAATTCCCCTGTTCTCGGACCACTGTGCAAAGTAAAAGTCAGTAACAGAAAGACGAGAAAATGCTCGTATGATTGGAAATTAGGCAACGTACTTCTGAAGAGTCTGGGATCAAAGAAGAAATCCACGTGTTGAAATTAGACAGTGGTTTGAAGTGAAAGGTAATCAAAGTACAACACGTGAAAATGGGATGCTGAAGAAACAGCCCTTCTAGGGAATCGCTATAACTTCAAACACACGTGTTGGTGTTGTTGGTTGCCGTCAAGTCGGTTCTGATTTACAGGGACCACGTATGACAGAGTAGAACTGCCTCATAGGGTTTTCTAGGCTGTAATCTTTAGGGGAGCAGATGGCCAGGGCTTTCTTCCACAGGCCGCTGGGTGGATTCAAACCACCAACCTTTTGGTTAGCAGCCAAGTGCTTAACCATGGACATCATCAGGTCTCCTTTTAAACACATATAGGAGAAAGAAAGAAAAAAAAGGTTGAAACATCTTAACTTCCGTGTTGAGCTAGAAAAAGAACAGCCAGTTAAACCCAAAGAAAGTAGAAGGACTGAAATAAAGAAAATAGGAGCAAAAATCAGTGAAAATGCCCCCGGCTCTACCAGGTCAAGGCCAGAGCTTGGGGTCAGGCCCATCCAGTGGCCCAGCACCACTCCGCCCCTGGTTAGCGCTGACTCACCAGGCAGGGCTCATTGTCACCTCCTCTGGGACTCGTCCCTGACCCTCCTGGGTTGACTGTCCCTGCTCTGTGTGCCCACAAGCTCCCAGACTTCCCTGTCACAGCTCCTATCCATGGCATTGCCCCGGGAGTGGGGCAGTAGGACAGGTAAACAGGCAGACCATGAGCTCTGTGACAGTGACAGTGAGCTCTAGGCCCTGGGCTCACCTCGACAGGCAGTTTAACCATGTGGTTAAGGGCATCTTGATACCACCAATGACTAGCTGTGTGGCCTTGGGCAGGTTACTTAACCTCTCTGAGCCTTGGTTTCCTCATCCATAAAAAAGGAATAATAATAGCCTTCAGCCACAGGAGTGTCCAGTACATTAAATGAGTTAACGCTTGTATAGCCAGAGGAGAGTTACTGGTACTGCTCTTTCTTGCCATTGTGTGCATAGTAGGTAGCATAGTGCCTGGCACACAGTAGGTGTTCAGAAAACATTTGTCACATAAAGAGAGGTCCCTTGCTCTTAAAAACAAAAGAGCATGAGGACTGACTAAGGGTACATTTCCCACAAAGACAGACTAGTCTCCCCAGGGCTGGTCTCCCCAGGACTGACTCCTCCGGTGACTCCCCCCTGGAGAGCAGGCCGCTTGTCTAGGGGAACTCTGTCGCCCTGCCCTTCCAAGAGCCAATCTGTTTGGTTGCCTATTTGCATGTTACTTGCATATCATTTGCATCTCCTGCCCAAACCTCCCAGTGGCTCTCCAGTTTGCTGACAGCTTGTGTTCTTTCTCCCTGCACCCTGGTCTCCAGCCCTAAAAGACCAGGCCCAGGTGAAACTGGGAGTTCCTGGGTGGTGCAAATAGTTAATGCAACTTGGCTGCTAACTGAAAGGTTGGAGGTTCAAATCCATTCAGAGGCGTCTTGGAGGAAAGGCCTGGATATCTATTTCTCAAAAATCAGCCATTGAAAACCCAATGGAACATAGTTCTACTCTGACACACATGGGGTCAACCTGAGTTGGAACTGGCTCGACGGCAACTGGTTAGGCAAGACTGATCGGGAGGTTTCCTATAAGAGTGTCCCCCAAGGGTTCCCCACTCTGCCCTCTACCACATACCAGGATCTTCTTATAGGGGAAATCCTTCAGGCCTCTGTTTCGGGGGGAGTCAAAGACCACAGGGAAGGATTTGTGAGGAGCCTCAATGTAGCCAAACTCCACCTCGTCCTGGGAAGGGAGAAGGAAAGTCCACAGTGACCTTCTCAGTGGGGTTTATAGAATGCAGGGATCCAGCCAGCACCTAGGGCAGGGAGACAGGGGGACAGATCCTCCCCATGACCTGGGCAGTAGGGTGAGGGGTAAGAGGTGGAGGTGAGGCCTTTTGGGACCCTAGTCAGGAGAAAATCTAGGCAGTGACCGGAGCACGTAGAGGAAAGCAGGAGAGATGGGGGTGCTGTGGGTAGCAGGGAAGCCTTCCCCAAGCCTTCCCCCTGAGTCCCGGCACCCAGACTGGCCTGGCTTCTCCAGGGAGACTGAGGCTGGTTAGGAACCTGTCCTAAAGCCCAGAGAAGGACTGGGGCTCAGGCCTCGCCGGACAGCCCCCACTCTGGCCCGGGCTTTGCTCTTGCTCCCACCTGGATCCAGCGGTCATTCCGGTTTTCAGTCTGAGGGCAGATGATCAGTTTGCAGTTGGCTTTCAATGCCAGGTAAGCCATGTCATCCAGAAATTTCTCATTGGAGCCATGAGAGTCCGTCACACTGTGCAGAAGACAAGGAGGGAGGAGTGGAATAATGACCTCTGGCTGTGGCCTCGGCCTTGGGGCCTGGAGGCAGGGGTGGACGGGGTGACCTCAATTCAGTGTGCGCTAGGCTCTGTATGGCCCTGGGGCACTGGGGTTCAGACACAGTTCCAGCCCTAGAATGGTCCATGGGCTAATGGGGGAGACAAGCACTGTTCTCAGATCACATCAGGTGATAGGAACAATGCAAAGGGTAAGCCCAGGGCTGTGGAGCCCAGCAGTGGGACGCCTAACTGGGCAGTCAGGGAGGAAACCCTGGAGCAGGTGACTGGAGGGACTGAATCTCACTGGTTGAGGTGGCAGAGATGGGGCAGCTAGCCCCATCTACCTCTGTTTCACCCAACCAGCTTAAGCAAAGGGGTCAAGGTGAGTTGGTGAGCAAACAGAAGGACATACCTACACACACGTGGACCCAGGTAAGTGGAACAAATCTATTTGGTCACATCCTTCTCAGACCTCTGACTTATGTCCAACTCCACTGTGGCCTTTTTCACTTCTCTGACCTCTGACACAGAGGCCTAGAGTGACCTTGCCAACCGAGGCCCAGCCCTCCCTCACCGGGGCCTGATAAGGATTCTCAGAGATGGCAGCAGGACCAGGGACCCAGTTTGGCCATGGCTCACGGCAGATTCCAGAGGCAGGTTCCCATGTCCTCAGTGGGCACAGGAGTGCATCCACCTCAGAGCGAGGGCTCAGTCTCCTGTGGCCACCAACAGCCACCAGGGCCTGGCCCCACTGTCCAGACTAAATCCAAGATGATCGGGGCTGCTGTGGGGTGGACAGAGTAGGAGCTGGGGTGCTGGAGCTGGAGCTGGTGAGCTTGGACTTGGCCTTAGTGCTCAGGGCGGGGGGCTGGGGAGTGCTGACAGCCCAAGCCTGCCAGCTGCTGTGCTGTGCCCAGCTCTGCACCGAGGGTGCCGTCCATGGATCTGTCCAGTCTGACTGTGGGACAGAATCTGGACCCAACATTCACCTTCATATCTCTGCAAGTCCAGAGCTGGGCCTGGTGTGGGGAATTTAGCATGGGAGGCTGGTGTTGGGGGTGCTCACCTGCACACATACAGCTCCAGCGGGGGCTGGGTGTTGGGGGTCATGATCCAAGGGGCTAGGCGGAAGGTCACGGTGTCTGTGAAGAGGTGCACCTCGGGCAGGATCTGAGGGGGAAAGGAGGACTCATGGGCCCTGCAGGGAGCCCCAGCTTACCCGGCTCCAGAGCTCCACACTGGCCCCCCGAGTCCCTCAGCCCACCCCTTCCCCGATGCTGTACACACCTCCGTGTCCACCAGGCTGACACTGAGGGAGACCAGCCCCAGGAAATCGGCATCCGGGAAGGCAAGCCCCTCCACGTAGAAGCTGATCTCCCGCTCCCCCGGCTGCCGCTCAATCTCGTAGGACAGGTGGTAGCGTCCCAGCACCTGCTTGTAGTCGGAGAGAAAATTCCCACCTAGGAGAACCAGAGTCAGGGGACAGGAAACAGGGGCAAAGCCATCTTTGTGGTAAGAGCTACTGGGGTTTCCTCTCCAGCTCTGCTGCACGTGAGCTGTTGATTTTGGCTCAGTGCTCAACCTCTCTGAGCCTTAATTCCTCATCTGTAAAATGGGCCAATATTGAGTTTCCCATGGGGTCTGTGTGTGCTTTAAACCAAGAATCAGATAAAAGCCCATGGCAGGTGGTAGTTCTGCCTCTGCCCTCTTCTTCCCCTGAGGGTTGTCTGGGAAACGTCACCCTGTTAAGCTCTTGTTCACAAAAGGAAGGTTGTGAGTTCACTTGTTGAGGCTTTGCTTATGTTAAGCGTTTTCAAGTTGGGGCCTCTGCGTAACGTCCACCACTGGTACACACAAATGAACATTCCAGTCCCTGTCAGGCTCATTTAGCTGGAACAACAAGTTCTGAGTCAATTTGAACTGAGGAGGGTGAAGGGGAAGAAGGAAGGGGTAGGAGAGGCTTCTTTCTCTTTATACAAATGTGTAAGGGCGCCTCGGGGTTAGGGATTGGTGGGTGTTTTGTTTTGTCTTCAAGTCACAGACTTTGATTAATAAAAACGCTGGCAGAATGTCCAGGTTTAGACAAGCTGGGCTCTGAGGCAGGGCCTGGCCGTAGCTTTGCTTGTTGCCACCCCACCCACCCTGCATGAACAGTGCTTGACACACAGTGAGAACCAGTCCACACTGAATGATCAGAGGAGGGGACAGGGTGAGGGCAGTGGAAAGAGGAGGGCTTTGGTGTCCAAGAGACCTGGGCTTAAATGTCTGCTCCACCTCCAACTAGATATGTGGCCTTGAGACAGTGAATTCATGCATCTGAGCCTCAGTTTCCCCTTCTGTAAAATGGGGCTAATTGTTGAATCTCTTTCTCAGGTACTATGTTGTGTATTATCGTCCGTGGAGCACAAATGGTTTGTGCTCCACTACTAACCTAAAAGGAGACCTGGTGGTGCAATGGTTAAGCACTCGGCTGCTAACCTAAATGTCAGCAGTTCGAACCCACCAGCTGCTCCATGGGAGAAAAGCCCTGGTGATCTGCTCCCAAAAAGATTGCAGCCTAGGAAACTCCATGGGGCATTTCTACTCAGTCCTATAGGGTTGCTATGAGTCAGAATTGACTGCACGCACGGAACACAGCAGAGAGTCCCTGACAGAGCAGGAGAAAAGTGGGGTGCAGAACTCAAATGTTAGCAAAAAGACCAGACTTAATGGTCTGAGACTGGAGGCACCCCTGAAGACATGGCCCCTGGAGTCTCCATTAGCCCAGAACTGAAACCATTCCCGAGGTTAACTCTTCAGACAAAGATTAGACGGGACTATAAGTCATAAAATGAGACTTGTGAGAAGTGTGCTTCTTAGCTCAAGCAGATACATGAGTCTAACTGGGCAGCTCCTGTCCGGAGGGGAGAAGAGAAGGCAGAGAGGGTCAGGAGCTGGTTGAATGGACAGGAAATCCGGGGTAGAAAGGAGGAGTGTGCTGTCACAATACAGGGAGAGCAATTAGGGTCACATAACAATGTGTGTATAAATTTTTGTATGAGAGACTAACTTGAACTGTAAACTTACGCTTAAAGCACAATACAAAAAAAAAAAAGAATTAACTGGACAGCACACAACGAAAACTAACCTAAAGGTTGGCAGTTTGAACACATCCAGAAGTGCCACGGAAAAAAGGCCTGGCAATCTGCTTCCATAAAGATTACAGCCAAGAAAACCCTATGGAAAAGTTCTCCTCTGTAACACATGGGGTTGCCATGAGTCGAAATCAACCCATGGCAACGGGTTTGGTTTTGGGTTCTTTACATTGTGCACTAACAGGGCGGCTGTTTGTAAGCTGTAGTTAGAGTTACAAAGGGTGGTGCAAGGAAGGGACAGATTGGGGAGGAAAGAGTTTGGGAAACAAAGGATGGTGCAGGGAGGGAAGAGGTCTCACCAGGCCACTCACCTCGAGCACAGAAGACCCCTACTCTTTCGGAATCAGACCAGGGCACGTTCAAGACCAGCTTGTGGTTGTCAAAGATCTTGTCGGGGCCGTCACAGCTCAACACCATTGGGGACATGTCCTGCAGATCTGGGGAGGGTGACCCCTTGAGACAACACCCTCTCACCCCACCCACAGGCTCCTTTCTCATCCCCCCACCCTCCACCACCCCGTATAACCCCTGAGTCACTCACCGGCCAGTGACGCCAGCTGCCTGTTGGCAAGGTCAGGCTCCCTGGACGTATGACTGTCCCGGTCACAGTTCACCAGCAGGACAGCCCCATAGCCCTCAGGGCCCCAACGCCAGGTTTTCTGTGGCCAAACAAGAAGTTTCAGGGTCAGTGGGACCCTGGAAGGGGCTCTGGACTTGGCCAGGGGCTAGCTGCTTTATTAGCTTGGAGGCTTTTATAATCTGGGTTTGCTTAAAGATTTAAAGAGGGCTCATTGACTGGGGACTGGAGCTCCAGGTCTCTAAACCCAGAGCCACTGCATCCTTATGCAGTGAACAACCTGCCCAACCACCCGCAGTGGCCTTGCCAAGCCTTCACACTGGAGGAGCCAGGGTGATGTCACCATTCCCAGAAATGGCCCTCTCCAGCCTGCTGAGCTTGGACCTGCCTGGAGGACAGAGGCTGCCCCGCCTTGACCTTAATGGGGGTGAGAGGCTGAAGAATCCCTGGGAGACCTGCCCCATGCCAGCACTCTCCTGGGGCCTATCCCACAGAGGCCCCTGCAAAGATGAGTTAACATCTACCTTTGGCCCTGCAGGCCCTGCAAACCGATCCCAGCTGAGGTGGGAAAGACAGCTGGAATCCCCCTCTGTGTTCAACACTCTCCTCAGCACACCTCCACTTTATCCCCCTACAGACGCTGCAAGGCAGGGCTCACGTCCCCATTTTATACAAGAGGGAAGAGAGGCTCCGGGAGATGAGCCCTCAGTTGCATAGACGGGATTCAAACCCAGGTCTGTGGGGCAGCACAGGCTTACTGCTAGCCTTGTGCAGTGAACAACCTGCACAGCCGTCCATGGCCGCCCTGCCCCACCTTGTCCACAAGGTCTCATGATCCAGGCTAACTCTCTGGGGTCTTTCCCTACAAACTGTATCTTGTATTCCTCCCGGGACAGCTTCTAGATACTGCCCTGAGCCAACGCCATCTTCCTCCTTACTCTTCAGGGTCTGGCTGGGCTGACCACCACGGCCTCCTCTACCAAGAGCCTCAGCCATCCTCCAACCAAGCCCCTAGAAATAGTCTTGTCTTCTCCTTGCCTTCATTCAGTCATCCAACAACCATTTATGAAGCATCTACCATGTCTGGAGGTCCAAATACAGACCAAGAAATAGAAAAGGCAGCAAGCCAAAGAACCAATCCCAATTCCAAGGTGGCACAAGGGAGACCAGAGAGTGTAAGCTATTTTCCAGGAGCCACACAGCATGCCAGTCACATGGCATGGGTTAATGCCCACTTGTGGAAATTTGGCAGTCCCTGGATGGGTTACCTAAGCCACTGTTGGATACCACAAGGTCTGCCCCATCCCAGGACCATCCCCAGGTTAGCTTGTCACCTCTGCAGTCTTGAGGTAGCCAGGAGAGTCTTACCTTGTCACCTCGGCTCCTCTTCACCTTGCCTGTGCGGCTCATGTCCACATCGAGGGAGATATCTGGAAAGGGATGCAAAGGGACTGCCAGGGGCTCCCCCAGCCCTGTCTTCATGCCCATAATATCTAGACCAGGGCAAGCTTTTCCCCCTTCCCAACCCATGAGAACCAGGAAGCCCTGCTTTAGGGACCATACTCAGAGCTGGGGATCCTTGTGGCAGCCGCCTGAGGTTCTGGGTGTGGGTAACATTCATGGTTCTGGTTGTGGTGGGACCAGAGTCTTTGGCTTTTGAATTACTCTGTGTGGGTTGAATTGCTGGTGGCCTGGAGACTTCTAGATCATATGCTGGTGGTCCTTAACTCTGGTTATTCATGATTAGACCCTGAAGTTCTAGATACTGCACTTCTGGAGTTGGTTGCCCTGGGTTCTGGCTGGGGGATGCACATGACTCTCCAGGGTTCTAGCGCAGGATCTTGGAGTTCCATTAAGGGTGATATGCGAAACTCTGGATGAAGGAGGTCCATCATGGTCCCAGCTGTTGGCCCAAGGGCAGTGATGTTTCTAGATTCTTGTGGCCCTAAGTATCATTGGATCTCAGTCCTTATGGTTCTAGAGTGGATGGAGGATTCCTGAAGACACCAAGCTCCATCAATGGTGGAGGAAGCTGGCCATGGGCCTTCCACTAGGGTGGAGGAGAGGGCTCCCTTAAGACCCTCAAACAGCCAACCTAGAGGGGTGAGGGGATATATGGAGAGGTAGTACTTACCGATGCCAGTGAGGTAGAGTACCCCATGGCCCAGGGCACTGTCCTCATGCTGCCCAAAGTAGGAGACCTTCACCTATGGGGAGATAGTCAACCCTAAGCCAGCATGGCCATCACCTTCAGAGGTGGTGATGGGTGAGAGACACACTCCAGCAGCCCTTCTTAGAGGAGGGGAGGCATAGGAGCCCCCAGGTCCTCTCAGCTCTGACATCCCAAGACTCATGGACTCCCAGCGTGGAGTCAGAGCTCTCTGCTCCAGCTACAGAGGCTGTGGATGCTTCCTGTTTCCAGAGCTGGTGTGAGGAGCAAGGGGGCAGGGGCAGGGTGGAGAGATGAAGGGTTGGCAGATCCCGTGGGGAGCACCTGGACATTTGGGGGGATGTCAGAGAGAACCAGAGAAGGGGCAGCAGTCACCTTGACTTAGATAAGTTACTCAACTTCTCTAGGCCTGTTTCTTCATCTGTAAAATGGGAACAATAGCTCCCACTCCCATAATAACAGCCAACGGTCACTAAACTTTTACCCTGCTCCAGAACCCAGGCCAAGTACCCCACCCAGGTTCTCTAAACTACCCCTTAAGGTGGCCCCAGTAGACAGAGCACATTCATACTGAGGCCACTAGGGCTCTGCCTGCAATCACGCAACTAATAAACAGGAGATGGGACTTGAGCCCACGGTGGACTCCCGAGGCCCTGCTCTCAACTGCACAGTCGGGCCCTTGCTCTGTCAGAGAAAGGCTGTTTCAGTGATTCATTGGGTCACTGAGTGTGTGTCTGGGGTTGGCCAAGTGAGGGCTATCATCCATGCTTAGTGCTGTCTGTGTAAGAGAAGGTTTGCTTAGGTGTGGGAGACATGTACACATAAAGGTATGCATGTGTGTCAGTGCATGTGTGTGAACGAGGTGTCGATATGGAATCCTGTCTATGTGGGGTGACTTGGGGGGCCTGTATGTAGGTAGAATACAAGCAGTGGTGGTTCAGTGATAGAATTCTCATCTTCCATGCTGGAGACCTGGGTTCGATTCCTGGCCAACGCACCTCATGTGCAGTCACCATTCATCTGTCAGCGAGGCTTGTGTGTTGTTATGGTGGTAAACAGGTTTCAGCAGAGCTTCCAGACTAAGAAAGCCTAGGAAGAAAGGCCTGGTGATCTACTTCCAAAAATCAGCCAGTGAAAACCCAATAGATTACAATAATCTGATCCACAATGGATCACAGAGATGGCTCAGGACCAAGCAGCGTTTCTTTCCATTGCGAGTCGTGGGCTGACTTGTTGGCAACTAACAATAACAACATTCCTGTGTATGTGACATTGTGGCTATGGGTAGGTTTGTGTGTTTTGGTGGCTGTGAAGTTGTATTAGGTTGCGCTGTGTGGATATAAGTGTGAAAAGCTTTGTAGGATTTTGTTGAGTGGGTGATATGTATATGAGGGTGTGCTATGGGGGGTAGAGTAGAGGATCTAACCCCTTACCATGCAGAAGTGACCTCTTACCTTGAGATCATTTAAGTCCTTACTGGCTGCATCCACAGATACGACCACATCCACGTTAGCCTCCAGGGGCCAGGGGGCCTTGCCCATGGGCTTCGTGACCCGTGCCGGGTTGTAGACCACGAAGACATTCACCCCGGAGCTCCCAGTGACCTCAAAGGTCTTGGCACCCTTGGGCACATCCCTGCAGAGAAGGAGAGAAGACAGGGCCAGGGGCTCAGGAAAGGGACCAGGGTGGAGGAGGGAGGCGTTGGGGGCCAGGCTATTCAGACACCACCCTTAGCCGTGTTAGCGGCCACTGGCCAGGAGACTGACCCTGGCTGGGCTTCAGGCAGCCTGGCCTTCGGCCCAGCTCTGCACTGATTCCCTGTGTGACCCACCCTGGGCACCTCACTCCACTCAGGCCTTAGTCTCCCCATGTGTAACATAACAGATTGGAGCAGAGCAATGGCTGTTAAGCTTTCAGCTGCAGAGCCCTTTTGTCAAAGGAAACCTCATGTGGGACCCAAAAGCATAAAACAGACAAAAGGGGAGTTACCCTGTTGAAGCTGGGTGGGGGAGGGGATGAGGCAGAATCCTGGTGGTTTAACCCCTTCACTCCCACAGTGGCCCCTGAGGCACCTCCCAGGATCCCAGGGCTCCAGAGAGCATAGATGGCAAACCTCTGGACTGGGGCACGCGCTCACCCCTATTCCCAACTCTCTTCCTGCTCTGACCCTTGCACACTTTCCCATCCAATAGGAAATCCACTTGGCCAACCACCTCTCACCACTTCTGCTGCTGTCACTGTGGTTCGAGCCACTGTCACCACTCACCACCACTGGTCTCCCTAGTCCCGCCCGTGCCCCCTCCAGTCTGTCCTACACACAGCACACCTAAGTCAGATTCTGTTGCTGCTTTGCTCAAAAGCATTGGTTCCCATAACATCCACTAAAGGCAAAGTCCTCACAATGGCATACAAGGCCCTCCCTAATGTGCCCCTGCTCTCCCTGACTGCCTCCCCTGGCCCAGACTCTCATCCTCTAATCCAGCCCCGTGTCCCATCCTCCCAACTCCCTTTGAATCTCATGCTCCTTCATTTGCATGAGTGTTTCCTTGACCTTCATGCAGAAACCTGCTCCTCACCGTGAACATGTTCTCCCCGGCAGCTCCCTCAGTGATGTCTGTTTCTGCCCCACTCTCTCCTACCACTAGGCCCGGAGGTGGGCAGGGGTCCCCCTCGCTCCTTACTATCACTTCCAGATCATCGCCTTCCTTTACTCCATAAACCCCAGCTTTGAAGTGAATTTCATCACCATCTACAGAAGACCCTGTGTCACTTTGTCCTCAGTCCTTGAGGGTGGTGGGTCCGGCCCACTGTCTCCAGCACAGCTGGCATCATGTTCTATTTCAGTCACCACGTGGATGATGGGATGAGGTGCCCTGACCCCTCAGTCCCTTAACCTCCTCTCTTCCAATGATCCTGTCCTCCGCGGCCTCAGCCACCCACTCCCATGGGTGTACCCTAGACTTTGTCATTACCAAGAACTGCACCCAGTACAAACAAGCCACAATCAGGCACCACCTCCTAACCTTCTACCTCACTCCTTCTAATAAGCAACTCCAAAAATCCCACAACCTTACTGGGACCTGCAAAACATTAAAGGCTGAACATGCTCCACTTCCTTCCACCACCTATTCATTCCTTCGTGTTCTCTCCTCCTAGCTGAGATTCCCTGTTCCCTCACTGTACTCACTCCTTTGCACCACCCTCACCTCTTGCTCATCGTTTCCTCTATCATAAATCAGTACCAGTGGCCGTCAAATTGACTCTGACTCATGGCAAGCCCATGTGTGTAAGAGCAGAACTGTGCTCCATAGGATTTCCAATGGTTGATTTTTCAGAAGTAGAACATCAGACCTTTCTTCTGAGGTGCCTCTGGGTGCACTTGAACTTCCAACCTTTCGGTTAGCAGCCAAGCACATTAATCATTTGCACCATTCAGGGACTCCTCCCTCTGTCATACAACCTGGCAAAGCCTCAGCCACAAACAAATTCAATCTCCCACCCACTCTGCACCTGCACCCCCACCGATGACACACCTCACTGAGTTTCATGTCCACTGACCTCATGTGGCCCATGCCACTACTCGCCAGTCCCACAGCTCTTCCCAGGGCCATTCACTCTTTCAGTGCCCTAGAAAATCATTCCATCCCTTCTCTTTTCTCCAGAAACCTCTCTTACCTCCACCCCACCCTCACTCAGAGCTGGTAACTTCCCTCTTCCCCCCACCTCATCCCCCAGCCCACCTGCCTCGGGACAGTGGATGAACTATCTGGGCTCTCGCCCAAGACCAGCCCTCCCTGGATGCACTGGACTTACGCCATTGCCCCCACTCAAGGGCTTCACCCCGGCTTTGTCTCTTCTCACTCTGTCATCGAGCGTGTTGTTGTCGTGTGCAGTCGAGTCAATTCTGACTCATAGCAACCCTAGACGACAGAGTAGAACTGCCCCATAGGGTTTCCTAGACCAAAATCTTTACAGGAGTAGATGGCCAGGTTTTTCCTCAGGGCAGCTGCTGGTGGTGGGTTGAAATCACTGACTTTTCGGTTAGCAGCGGAACACAACCATTGTGCCACCAGGGCTCTTCACTGAGCACACACATGGGCTATAAACCTCACCCATCCATCCTAAAAACGAATCCTCTCCTGCGTGCCTTCTCCCTCATTTCTTCGACTCCCTTTACAGGAGCACTTGTTGGGAGTCGAGTGTACTTACAGTGTCCAGGTCTTCCTTCCCAACGGCTCTGCAACCTGCCTCTAATCAGGCTTTCTCCCCGCCACACCATCAAAATTGCCCTGTTGCCAAAGCAAATGGTCCTTTGCTCTTGCTTGATCTGTCAGAGGCATTTGCCCCAGGTGATCATCTGTCCCCCTTGAAACACTCTCGCTACCTGGCCTCTGGGACACAAGCCTCTCCTTGCTCTGCTCTACCTCACTGGCCTCTCCTTCCCTGTCTCCTTTGCTGCTTTCTTCTCACGGCCCACCCTGACCTCCAAGCTCTGGAGTGCCCGGGCGGTGGGGGTGCTGGCACAGGTTTAACAACCAGCTCTCTGATTGGGGAAGGTGCGCATGTACATACATACACACATAAGTTTATTATAGCTGTTAAAGATATGAATGATGTGTAGCACACAATATGCAAGTAATAATACACTATGTGTTCATTCTTTATTGTAAATTTTGTGGTAAACTCTATATAGCCAACTGATCATACAGAATGCTTTCTTGTGTAACCATAGTCAACCTATGACTGCAATTCAACCATGGTTCAACAAATGGAGTTGCATCCCAATCTGTTAACTCTTTCCCCAATAAATTTATTGTCATAAATTTATTATAAAATCTGATATTGAAGAAAAAAGAGAAGTTCTCAATGATTTCATACTACTAGGATCAATAATCAATGTCCATGGAAGCAGCAGTCAAAAAATCGAACGGTGTATTGCACTGGGCAAACCTACTGCAAAAGACCTCTTTAAAGTTTTAAAAGGCAAAGATGTTACTTTGATGACAAGGTGTGTCTGACCCAAGCCATGGTCTTTTCAATCGCCTCATGTGCATGTAAAAGTTGGATAATGAAAAAGGAAGACAGAAGAAGAATTCATGCGTTCAAACTGTGGTGTTGGCAAAGAATACTGAATATACCATGGACGGCCAAAAATCGGTCTTGGAAGAAATGCAGCCAGAATGTTCCTTAGAAGAGAAGACGGTGAGAGTTGAACTTGCTTACTTTGAACACATTATCAGGAAAGACCAATTGCTAGAAAAGGACATCACATTTGGTAAAGTGGAAGGCCCACAGAAACGAAGGAAACTCTCAATGAGATGAATTGACACAACAGTCGCAACAATGGGCTCACACATATGTCTAATCATGAAGATGGAAGAGGACTGGGCAACATTTTGCTCTATTATAAATAAGGTTGCCATGAGTCAGAGCCCACTCAACAGCAACTGACAACACAAACAAATCTGACATGTGACATGAATGTTGGTTGATATTTTCATTTGCACTGAAGAGTAAGATGAAACAGTGAAGATGTACTTGAAGCTTTGCTCGTTTGTCAATTATGTGAGCAACTTCATTGCTGAATCACATAACAGTCTTCGAATGCTAGAAGAATATTTTCTCAATTTTCTTGTGCTGTTTACAACGTGGTGGCTATAGACATCACACAATTTTAAGTTTAACCTGCATTAGTATTAACATTTTTTCCATCACTTTCTTAAGTCTAAACTGTCAGCAAAACAATAAATCAAGCCCTGATTTGTAGTCTTTGCCGATTTCCATGGTGTAAATACTCCCAGTATGGCCAATTTCTAGTTACCAACATGACATCGTTGAACTCAGGGTTGGAAAGAGATGTGCAGCAGCATCCCATTATACAGTTATTTCTACCATACAGGAGTAAATGATCTTGGGACCAGAGACAATGTGAGTTTTGAGTATTTATTATTTTTGTCTTTTATAGAATGTACTTAATCATAACTGCATATAATTTAATTTTTAATAATGGCTGTGTTTAACAACTGGCTCCGAAACTTCCTAAAATCTTGATAATAGCTCTCTAGAGTGTGTGCTACCTGGCTTAGCACATTTGTCCCCAGGGCTCAGTCTTTGGTCCTCTTCTCTTCTCTGTTGATGCTCAACCCCTTGGTGATCTCCACCTGCCACACTGATATACTTAGAACTCTCACTTTTCCATCTCCAGCCCAGACCTCTTCTCTGAACTCCAGACTCTTACAACCAACTGTCTTTTGAACATCTCCACTTGGGTGTCTAATTGTTGCTGTTAGTTGTTCTCGAGTCATCTCTGACTGATGGCCACCTTATGTGTAACAGAACAAAACTTTGCCCAGTCCTGCGCCATCTTCATGATGTTTGGTGTGTTTGAGCCTATTGTTGTGGATATTGTGTCAATCCTTCTCATTGAGGGGTTCCTTCCTTTTCGCTGACCCTCTACTTTATCAAACATGATGTCCTTTCCTAGGGAGTGGTCTTTCCTGATGACACGTCCAAAGTAAACAAGACAATGTTTCACCATCATCACTTCTAAGGAGCATTTCTGTTTTATTTCTTCTAAGACTTACTTGTTGTTTCTTCTGGCAGTGCATGGTACAGTCAATCTGCTTCGCCAACAC